TTCTGGTTCTTGTCAATTTGTCTCATTTCATTATGAAAATGATCAGTGTTTAGCAAGAGTGTTGGACATATAGTATAGCTATCACACAGCCATGCTGGATTAGCAGCTGTTTTAATTTTAAATTTGCATGCATTTTTAAGTTGCACACATTTTTAATGGGTTTGAGAATTACATACTAGTTTAAAAGAATATAAATATTGAAAAAATATTTCAAAGCCATCACTAGAAATTCAGATTGCAAATATTACGTTTCAGCCATAAATTATTTTATTTTAAGCAGAGTAAAAACAGTGCTTTACATATGCTTTTATTTCTCCAATATACTGGGGGTTTTATAATGTCAAAGTTTGATACATGACAAATTACTCTTCTGCTTTCCAATGATGTGGACTGTAGAAGGGAAGCCTACACAACAGTAAATCCTATCATTACTTCTGGAAGACATTCATTCTTTTAATAGAACATAGAATAGAATACAGTCATTCTAATTGTAGGCAGAAATTAGGAAGGTTTGCAGTTGTTTTTTTAGTCCTTAATTCCTTACTGTTCTGGCGGTGCACATGTTTTAATAAGCATGTTAGGACCTATGAACTAAAGTAACCTTGCATTTTAAAAAAAATGCATTTGCAAATATGTTATGAAAAGTTACAGTTTTGCCCTATTGGAATCCTTCCCATATGAAAACAGATTGCTGTATTTGAATAAGGAGTATGTATAAAATACATGCATGGCAGAAGATTAATAACCCACAATAGCCACCACCTTTTTGTTGTTCATAAGTAATACGAGAACTTTGGCTACAGAGTCTGCCTCTATAATCCATCAATCCCTTTGGCTAGGACCTGGTAAGAAGTACCAAACCTTCAAGATAGAGATTATCTCAGAAGGAAAAAAGACCATGAAGAAGATCAGTCTTTTGAAGAAAGATTTCTTTCTGAAGAAATTTCTTTTCTGAAGAAAATCAGAAAAACACTCAACTGAGGATGACTTGGAAAAAATATGGCCTGCACAGAACACCATTCTAGCAAGACACAGATTGTTGTCTCAGCAATCATTAGCGCTTTGTTCCTGTTGCTAAAAACAAATCATCTTGATTCCGTCAAATTTCTTAATGTTCACCCACTGGGTTTCAAAGGAACCTCAAAAGCTGATACTTACACGGACCAAGGCACTATAGCCCAGGTCATGGCCTAAGAATGGAAGAGCTATGAAGTTCCAGCTTGTGTGAAGAAAGGGTAGTTGTGTCGTTGTAAACAAGGGAAAAGAAACTAGAAAGGGAGCAGAAATGCAGCTACTTAATTACAAGTCAAAACTTCATCAAATAGCCTACGTGTATCAAATTTATGCAAAACTACTCTTTATTCTGCCACTTTTTCAGCAGAAGTGTAAGCACAATTTTACGATCAGCTTTAAAATTATTTGCTCGTGTCAATAATCTCAGGAAAAAAAAAAAGCTTTCTTCTCATGCTGTTACTTTTTCCAGGCACACCCCAAAGTGTTTGTTACTGGAGATTTCTACTTACACGGCACAGTGCAAAGGAGAGAAGCTATTACCATAGAATGTGCGGAAAAATTTTTGTTCCAATAGTACCTCTATGCAGTTTTCATGACCTATAAGAGATCAGACATTTCACAGTGTTGCACAAAGCAAGTAATTAATTTAATTCATATTAGGCTTATACAGATTAGACTTTAACACTAAGTTCAAAGTTGAACACAATGTGTATATAAGGTCTTGCGTGCTAAAATTATCTATTTTTTTTTATGGCAGCAGCAAGATAGATCCAGGCTAATATTAACACTTACTGAAAAAAAAAGGAAAGGAAAAAAAAGTGTCTTTTTTTATGTGATGTTATGTATGTTGCCTTAAACACCTATGGTCTTAAATAATGGTATTAGGAAGCTTCATCCTTATATTAAGCAACAAGTTCAGATTATCCAGTTTAGAATAATCAGTTCAGTTCAGAATATCTATCTATTCACACGGTCTCTTGCATCAAAAAATAAGAAGGTGACACCTCAAAGGAGCATTCCTGGCCCCAAAGAAATCAATGAGAACTTCATCACTGACGTCAGTAAAACCAGAATTTCACCCTGTCCTCCCGTAGGAGCAAACGAGCTGCAAAGCCACTGAGAGGTACTGCTGGATTTTCCCTGGCTTCTGAACTGAAGAGTGAACACAGCAAATGCTAACTACATTGTGCTATGTAGAGGGCAAGTAGAGGAGAGAGAATCTGCCTCTTCATTTCAAGCTTCTCAAAGTGTTAGGCTGCTTTGTTATCATGCTTCTCTAAAACTGAGGCCACATTTGAACCTGGCAGAAGTCCACAGGGAGAAACTTACCATTGTAACAAGCCCAGTGCAGCGGTGTATAACCTTGATTATCTTTCAAACTGCAGTCTTCCTCTGAAAGTGCTATCTGCAGTAATTCACTCAGCCAAGTGGCATGACCCCGAGCTGCTGCAAAGTGCAGAGGCGTTCTGCCTCTGGCATCTTTACATAAAATAGATACTTCTTTCTCTAACAGCATCTGAACACACTCTTCATGCCCAGTCATAATCTGATAACAAAGAAATGAGTAAAGAGGTTGAGATAATACAGATTTTTACCCACGAAATATGGAATATAGTTGATGCCTGTGAACATCAAACAGCCTGGATGGGATTCAGAAGGCTGAGATGAAAGCTCCTTGGCTCTCATGAGTACCTTTGATAACTGATAGACTGAAATGTATCTAGTGCTGTCTTTCAAAGGCATTGATTCCTAGTCTGTGGAAGAGACTCCACTAGGTGAGGCACAAAAGCAAGGAGGAGTTTAAGACTAAGGAAACAGATGAACAAGGAGTGAGTTCAGAAAACCTGAGTCTGGCTTCTCAAAACCGTGTATGAATGTGAGAGAAGAACCGAGGAAAAAAAGATCAAGAATATCATCAGAAATATGAAAAGCTGCTTTAACAGCTGGCCAGTTATCACAGAGTTCTGTATAAATCCTCTTGCATCAACTTCACATTGGGTAAGAAGCTGACTCCCAGAAAAGATTAGCTCTGCCTGAAGTTTCACTGCCTCTAGAAAAAAATTTAAGGCTTACTTATTTACAGCATCCTCCCCAAGAAAAATGGAAGTAACTGCTGGCCAGTTCTTTTAAAGAAATTATTTTCAGAATTCATAAGGTGCTCAGTTATAAAAGTAATGATTCCTATTGTAAAATGCCTAGAAACAAGAAAAAATGGTCTAATCAGTATTTTAGCTAACTGACTAAAGTGAATGTGAAATAAAGTCAAAAGTAGAGCATTACTGAGCAGATCTGTCCTGCTGTTTACCTCATTGGCTGTGCTTGGTCATGTTTTCAACCATTTACAGTATTCCCTACAATCAATATCTGTATTTACAAGTGAGTTGTAGTCACAGTAAAACAAATAATGAAGAATCGTAAAAATTAAGTCACCCCACGATGTAAAGCTGTGCATCCCAGGAGATCAGCTGCATCTACAGATGCTTCTTTTTCAAGTAATAAAGAAACAGCATCAATGTGCCCATATGCCACCGCAAGCATTAGTGGGGTTCTAGAAAAAAAAACAAAAATTAACAAGTCACAGCTATAAAATGACATATAACTTGCCACTGCTAACTTAAGGGAAGAGAGAAATCAGGAAGCCTTGCATTTCACCCCATTCCTATGCACAAACTTGTTTCTTTCACCATACTCATCTATGTGACACCCAAGTGAAGATGTTTTGTATGAAACTACTAAGATGTTTAACAACCAGCTATGACTGAAATAGAAATAAAATCATTTGTAAATAGTTTACAGAGCAACATCATTCAAGACAATCTGTTCTCTCAATAACCTACAATTATTGTCACCTCCAGCGACACATGAGCTTTAGGATACCCAAGTGTTGTGAATGAATGTCCCTGCTAGTTACCAAGATGACAATCACCCACAGCATTTCTTTTGTAAATGCTGCGCAATTGCTTAAAGGTGATGAAGGGACATGAGGAAACTACTCAAGCCAAAATTTCAACTAACATATCTTCCTTTTTTTTTTTTTTTTTTTTCTGAAAGAGATCTGTTCTCCTATTTTTAGATAAGACTAATACCATTTAAAACTACATGTACAGTCAGATACATTCCAGGCACCTCAAATGAGTTTTTCAAACCATTCACATTTTCACTTTAAAAGTGTACTTTGTTCTCCCTCTCTGTCACTTAATGAGAAGTAAAATTTCAGATTTCAGATGCATGTGTCACCTCAAATAAACATTCTGTCCTGCTGCACCAGCCTAATATACCAAGTAAACCCTGAAATAGCAACGTTTTAGAAAGAAAAATACTCTCTGTAGAAAGATCTCAGGAGCTTGTTAGTTTTTATTGAATCTGGCCCTCAGCATCTATGAAGAATTGTCTAAAGTATGAAGCAGGGGCTAAGATTACTGAATAACCCTTTCCACATGGCTTAGATCAGCTGAATGTGTACTTTGTAATCTCTGCCAAATTCTATAAGGAAAAGTATAGGAGAAATTCTATAAGGAGAATACTGTGAGAAATCTGAGATGCTATTTGAATCACAGAGCTGAAAAAAACCCATCACTATGAAAACTTACTGTCCTTTGGCGTCTGTCACGTCAGGGTTGTCTGCAACTTCTAGCAACAACCGTAAACAAGGTGTATGGCCATTAATGACTATAAAGAAAAAAAGTATGTTTAATTTAAAAAGGTTTCATTTCAGATATTTTTCCACTGGAATGCTTATAGATAAGAAATTGCCTTATAAACGAGGAAAATATCTCACAGTATAAGAAATTAATATTCCCATAATTTTCCTTTAACTTGTGCTGATGAAATGGTGAGCTTAGTAAGATCGACCTCAGTAAAATGAGGATTAGTTCTCTTACATACAGAAATCCCAAATGAGTAAAACAGAAACTGTGATTTTCACTACTGAGAAGATTTCTACTAAACCAGACAGCATTTCAAAATCCCTCAGACCGAGCAGGCAGACAAGGCTTTCTGCGATCAGATTTGGAACACGGTAGGAAGTACGGCGGCAGGGCTCGTTAATTTTGAGTGCACTGTACAAGCAAGTTCTTCAGTGCTGCTATGTAAAAAGAAGCATCTGCAAAGAATGACCAACAATACAAATGACATAATCATAACAGCACATAACACCAGAGACTTAAATACCCTTGGAGGTTTTCCATCTCTTCTCATTTAGTGTTACTGGAAGCCACAGCTACTTCCCAAAAATGGGGTTTGCTTTTTAAAATGTAACCCGTTGCTGTTGGAAAACAGCTCTGAGTTACTGCATTTTGCAGGGCCTGACACTGGAAACCCATCTGTGTGTCAGCTGGCTTACAGGCTTCAGCCTTCTATGGATGAAAAGAACAGTATTTTCTTCCTCAAAAAACCCAGTAATTCCTGTACTCAGTAGACATAGACTGTGTTCTTATTACAGCAAGCCATGCATTCACACTGCCTACACCCTGTGGGCTGAGGCAAAACCTTGGACACTACCTATGTCAGATCATTCTGGCAGAGAAAAGGGTGCACATCATCACTCATCCAAAAATAATCTTAGTTACTCTACCCAGAAAAATAAAATACATTTTTAGTTATTTACCACTAAGTAATGCCATATACATAACATGTAAACAGTTCTGAAGAGCTGATAAGTCACTGACTTAGGGAAAAAAAAGCCCGTTCTTTCCCCCAGCAGGAAGAAGAAAAATCATCACTTGTTCACACTGATGTCTGAAAAGGATTTTCGTAAATTAGTTTTAGAACAGATACTCCCAGAAACATTTAGGAGCTGCCCCAGCGATCGCTAAGCATTACAGACCCTGTAGGGAACATTAGGTATGCCAACAGAGCTACAACACTAACACTAGGGGAACATTTGCAGTGGATTCCCCAAGCTAGCCAGAGGAAAGACTGGTGGTAATAAAATTATACAGGGAACATAAAATTTAGGCTAAGGGAATTCTCCATATTATGAGGTCAGAGGAAGTCTATTCCCTGAGGGGGACAGACAGAGAAAAGAAATACTTCATTAGGTGATTTCTCTACTAAAGTTACAAATCCCTTTACTGAGCATAGCTCTGCAGAGCCCTGTAATCCAATCCACCACTTCAGGTCTCCTTAACTGTTGAGCTCAGCAACTGTGCTTATGTAACTAAAAGGAATGGAGGCAAACACGTTTAAGGGGATGAGCACACATGCCTTTTTCGTTTCTTTCCAGTGCACGGTATTGCACATGCAAGCGTTCACTTTTCTGTGGGCAGATGCACACTGTCACTCAAGGGATTAAATCAGCAAGAATTCTGTTTGATTTCTCAAAATATACCAATTTACCTCTTAGACTTCCACTGCAAATAAAAAATGCTGAATACTGCAGTGGCACCACGCAGTGTTTCAGATAGGTGGCATCATTCTTTGGTAAAACACTTCTAAACAAAACGTATTGTTATGAAACAGCATAATAAAAATCAGATTGCTAGTCGCTTTTTATAATAGCTGGAAATAGAAGCTTTACTCCAGAGCTAATTTTCACAGAACTCTGCATAGCACTTGAGTGGAAAGTTCTAAACGTTGTCTTAATGGATATTTACCCAAAGTGCACTTATCTCACATTTAAAAGCCTCCAAATTCATTACAGTGGTAAATTTCCTTTACTAAGAGTTCAAATACTCAACTTATCTGTGCAGTATCTTCCCTTCTGCTTAAGGTACATGTTGTCTTTAGTCTATCATTCCTGTGTGTAGGATCTTCTTGCCCCCTCCCCTTTTTTTTAATACATACCTAACTTACTTTGCTTCACTGCAGTTATAGAACATTTTTCATGTATCCCTGGAATTTTTTTTTAATCTGAGAAGCAAAAAGTATCACAGACCAGAAAAGTCTACAAAGAATCTTCCTACTGGTTTTACATGGAAGGGACTCATACTACAGTGATGAGAGCAATTAAAAAAGAAATTAAAATAGGGAAAAAACCCACCATAATCAGAATTTGGGTATAAGGGTAAGAAATGTGTGTATTAAAATAACACCTTCTATTTTGTAAATCTACACAGTTCTGTTCAATGAATTTTATTTATTCAGATTTATTCAATGAAGACATATTTTAAGTCAGAGCTGCTAACAAAAATATGGGTTTCTTACCATGCATTTTTCTCAGAACCCTTACAACTCAGCTCTGATAAAAAGAAACCTCTGTCACTATAACCAAATTTTTAAATAAATGCAAAATCATTGCCACAGTGATATACCAGACAAAGTCACACACCTTGTTCATCATCAGACCCCAAGCTATGTTTGAAGTGACTATAGGAAAGATCTTGACCAACACAGCTCCAGTTTTGTGGCAGCACTGATTTTGATTTAAATTAACTAAACCAACAGTTTTAACAGGGTAAGGATCAGCTGGATTTAATATTTTGTGTTTTTATAAAAAACAACTAAAAACCCCTCTCTGAATTCTTGTCTCAAACTTCTGATATGTAAACTCTGTCAGCACATCTTTATATTACTGATTTATTGGGGGAGTAATGTACTCGGTTCTGATGCAAAATTTAAGAAGGCAGAAAGCATTTTTTAGTATGCTGTGAAGATCTATTTCATGGATTTTCTTCAGTACTGCAGACAAAATTGATAATAGCCTACTCGACCTTATGTTCCTAGGTTGCATTTATATGATCACACACAGAGAATAAACTGGTATAAGAGGATGAATATGCCTTTTAAACTAAGCAAGATTAAAAGATAAACAGAAAGACAATTAAGTCTGGCCCTGAAAATAACTTATCCAATGACATATTAATTTTACTTCCCACTAGAGGTCACTGCTATGCTGTACTGAGCCCCCTCGATGAACGGCAAGAGGAGCCCTTCCCTTTGGCACCTCCGTGTATTTATCTGACAGGTATATATTAAATAATAACCTTTAAATAAAAGGCAAATTCTACATTTTCCAGTTAATTATGCACGTTGCATAATTAACACTCAACACACGAGGAATGCAGCAGAGTACCCAGCAAGTTCATAAGCTAGCTCAGGAGGAGGATAATGTCTGAAAGGGGGTGAATTTCTGTTGCTACTGCAAAAGGTTGAAAGTTTTGAACACCAGGATAATTTCATTGCCAATCATTTTCAACCTTTCTTCCACAGGAGAGGCAGCGAGGCAAGTGTTCTCACTTCCCCTGTTTTTTTGGCTGAGGAACCACTAAGAGAAGGTGTCATACAGGGGAAACATCACACATCTTAAAGAGCAGGTGGTAATAGAGAGGTAAGGTAAAGTAGAGGCAAGCAGGTAAGGGCAGAGCACTAGTGGTGTGGGAAAATATGGGATTCTGCATGAGGGAGGACTGAACTACAGGGACAGGGGAAAAAAGACCAAGGAAATTAATGATAAAGGGTTAGCCGTAGGACCTCAGTAAACAAGCATCAGCCCTCAGTAGAGGTCAAAAATCTCCTTCTTCCATTTAGAAGAAATGTGCATAGGGATAGCAGGCGGGTAAAGGTAACTGCCTCTGTTTTGTAGGGTTTATATCACAAGTGTAACATAAGCGCACACTCACCTGAAGCGTGGAGGGGGGTCCTTTTGGTGACATTATCTTTTACAGTGACAGAAGCACCCTGGCTGATGAGAGCTTCCACGCACTCTGCATGTCCTTTAAAAGCAGCCAGGTCCAAAGCAGTGCGTCCCTTCTCATCCTTAATATCCAGATCTACCAGAGACTGGAGAAGTACCTCCAAGGCTTGATGATGACCATTATAGGCCTAGAAATATGAAATGTGTTATGTAAAGAACATGTATTATGTAAAAATGTTATGTCTCTCAGGTGAATGAATTGCTTTTAACAGCAACACATACAATAGGGAGAGCCACTGGCAGTGTCCTTGCAAGGATTCTGCCCAAGAGGTACCAGAGAGGAAAGGAGTTTGCTGTCTGGCCAGCTTCAGGGCAAGTCCCTTCTCAGCACAGGAATTTATACTGGTGATAGTGCAGGTTGTAACTCCTCTTTGGGCTTGGGGGTGACACTCCTTCCCGCAGTCTTCAAATTGCAGAAAAAAAGATGGGAAGAAGAGTTCAGTGACAAACTCAGTGTTTTAACCCAACAGTTTTGGCTCTTGTTCCCTCAGAGTACACACGGATAATTCAAACATCAGGCCAGAGCTGTTCTGTCTGACTGGGAAACAGATACAATCACTACACTTTCCACTATTTTCAAGTAAGCAAGTTGTTTTCCTTTGAAAGGAGGAGGGCAGCTTCAAGGTGAGGTTGGTTGTTCAGTGAAGAGCCAGTCTGTGAAAGTTGTATGAGGAGAGGGTGAGAGAGCTGGAACTGTTCAGCCTCAAAAAGAAAAGGCCCATGGGTGGGGGTCTTACCAATGTGTATAAACATCTGATGGGGGAGCAAAGAAGATAGAGCCAGACTATTCTCAGGTGTGCCCAGTGACAAGATGAGAGGCAACGGGCTCAAATTTAGACACAGGAAATTCCATTTAATGCAAAAAAAAATCCACTTTCTACTGTGATGGTGGTCAGCCATTGGAACAGATTGCTGGGTGGGGCTGTGAACTCTCCATGCTTGGTGATATTCAAAATGTGATGGGACACGGCCCTGAGAAAACCTGCTCTAGCTGACTCTGATTTTACCATGAAGGTGGGACTAGCTGATCTACAGAGGTCCACGTCAATCTCAACTATTTGGTGATTCTGCACAATAAAACTGGGAAGAGGGACCATGAATCTTGAGCTCTTGGGAAAGGGGAGCTATTGTGATCTATGAAGCCACACATGCTGGATCCTCTTTTTGATAGGAGAGTTTTCATGGCACACTCCCAGGGCACTGCTGGGGTTCCAGCATGCTTTCCCACACCTTGCTGTGTACCAGACAATTTTTTTGCACTCTGCATATCTCCAGAAGAACATTAGAGTATCCTATTCCATGATCAAAGCCATAGGCTCAAGCTCCATCCCCAAATTTATAAACTAATTATAAATAAAAGTTGCAACTTTCCATTTAATTTCACTTCAGTGTCTGTGTCATCTTCTTAGCCAAGTGTTAGAGTCAATAAGAACCAAGAACTTCAACTACCAAAAACCTAATTAAAGATTCCAGCCCAGAACCTGTTTTTATTACATCTAGACCTACATCTCTTCCCAGCTTTTTCAAAACAAGTCTATGATTAAACTTGCTCCAAAGACAGAGATCAAAGAATTGTTCTAGGAGATACTGATGAAATGCTTTACACACGTCATACTTACAGCTAAATGCAAAGGACTTTTCGTGGCTGCAGAATCAGATTCCTCAAACATATTGTTGTTTTTTTCCAGAAGCTGGGGGAAAAAAAAATAAAGAACAGTCTTAAAACATCTTTGTATGAGACAGGATAAGTTCTCATGGACTATAAATCAGCAGACAAAGGTGTATTTTGTCCTCAGATGTCCACAGTGAGTATTGAAGAACTGAGGAATAAATACTTCACAACCTTTTCTCCTGTAAAGTATTTTCAAGTTTTTCCCCACAGGGAAAAGTTATAAAACTAGTTTAAAAGCTGGCATGTACATCCTTAGCCTGGTTAATTAGTTTCCCTGAAATCACAGCACCTGCCTGGGTGAGAAAGAAGCCCTCAAAAGGAAGGATTTGTGGAGCAGAGCCCTCAGTAAATTTACATTGAAAAAAGCACAGTTTCATGATTACACAGGTAATACATATGCAAGCCATGTCTGATACAGCGTTTTGGATAATTCTGACACATACTTAGCACTGGGAATATGAGCTGTGAGTCATTCACAGTCATTTTTATAATTTATCAAAGTAGAACCTGCTCCTATAATGACAGTCTTCCAAAACATCCTTGAACTCTTACGAACATCTAATAACATCCATCACACTTTTATATGAGCTTCTTCAAGGGATCCCAAAGCATTTTAAGGATTAAAAACCAGGGCATTTCTGTCCATGTAGAAGCATGAACTATGGGTTAGCATCACTCCACAATAGCACATGAACCCTGACAACTTATCCAATTGAGGCTGCAAAGAAAATCATACACAGTATTGACAACAATATTGACAATTCAACATTTGTTGAGTACCACTGCTCATGTGCATGGCCTTTTCCTTCGGAACTACTCAGAGTTAGTCTTCAAATACCTTTGTGACTGGAAATAATCATTTTACAGAAAATTAGTAATAAGAGACTGTACAAAGGAAAGAAAAGCATGACAGGTAACTACAACTGACTTGTAATGTTTCTAAGGTTACAAGCCATTTTTTTTCCCACAGTTTTCTTGATTTTTTTTTTTTAAATTTTGGGGGGGGGTTTGTGGTTTTGGTTTTGGGTTTTTTTTGTTGGTTTTTTTTGTGACAGAGTAAGGAATTAATGAAAAGACTGAAAGAGAGGAAAGGAAGTTTTTGTGACAATCTGGACAATTCTAGGGTATGACAACATGGAAGACTCTCCAAAGAGACCAGCGAAAGCCTACGGCAGGCTTGCCTACACTGCAAGATGATGGCGTATCCTGAACTCTGATGTATGCCTGAACTTTGGTGTAACAGATTAGTCTTTAATAGACTTATATCAAGGATAAAATCAAATTGGAATAAAAGCTAGCATTAATAATGCATAAGGTATCACAAATCTTTGATTAAACAAGGACACTAATCTCAGTCCTATGGAGAATCTAGAAAATTAAACAGTAATTTTATCTGTATATTTTGTGCCTAGTAAAATGTCAGGACTGGTAAAGAAATGTGTTGGTGCAAGTACCACTCTTAAGCAAATGGGTATGTGTACTAAGAGGTAACATGGGTTTTAACACTTCCCTGCAATTAAGGGGGGAAAAAAAATCACATCCCACACCAGTTTTTCAGTAGGTTTGGGGCAGAGTTAGGAAACACATTTAGTCTTACCATGCGGAGCCACCTCCAGTTTAAAATATTGTTCTTCTCTTATATAAGATAGCTATAAACAGGATGAAGCAGTAGCCAGCTCTGAATATATGAATACATTCTGATTTTCTCTACTGAGTAAACAAACTAAAAAAATCCCATCAAACAAACCAAAGCACTAAGTCTGTTCCTCCGCCTGCCTAATACTGGCATTTACTCTGAGTCCATAAGGCCAGCACAGCAGACTAATTTAATCACTTTTAATTACATTTATCATCATCTGTTGAAATTCCAGGATCAAAATCTTAACAAAGAAATACTTCCCTTAACCTGTCAGAAGGCTCCAAAAGTCTCCTGAAAAAAGGCAGATAATTGCCTTTTGAGTAGACGGAAAAAAAAAAGCGCACAGAAAATTGACAAAATTAAGGCTCTAAAGGAACAAATTGTGGGATTGGAGAGCCCCTGACAAAAGACATCTCCATGGCTTAGAGTTAAAGCAGCTTAAGCTGATGCAGAGCAGGCTTAATGAGCTTATTACTCATAAGGCTGAATGTCTCAATCATAAAGTCAAGCATAAACAAGAAGTTGATGGTAAACCTAGTAGCTCTCAGATACATAAGTATACAGTGCAAGAAGAGAAATCATAAAGGAGAGCAAGAAGAGGAAGATTAAAGACATAGCACTAATAATTTTTAGTATGCCTTGTCAAGCATCATTTTGTAACAATTAAAACTAAGTCACCTGAAGGATAAACATCATGCACTAAGGGACAAAAAGCACCAGATCCAAGTTACCAAGCAATTCTCCAGTTCCACCAGTGTTTCTATGGTTCTAAGAATGCATTTACAGTAAGTTACATATACTTGTAAGAACACATAAAACAGTGTGTCCTTGAGGGGACTTTAGCTCCATAATGCTTCCATTTTAGTATACACTTGTAAGAAGCTACCGACAGTTGCATCTGTTTTTAAAAAGGTGAATTTATCACTTAAAACCTTTTGCCCTGACAGCCATGAAATCTTAAATCCAAGATCCCAAGAGCAATCCAAGCGAGTCTGCTCTGCTGTGATACATACCTATCTGCTACAAGCTGGCCAACGCATTTCACTGAAGCAGGCAAATAAGCATGAATTACTAACAGTTTATGGTTACTGGTAGTTGACTGAAGAATGTCCCAGCATATCTCGTTTCTAATTTCTTGTGCCATTGTAATTACGTCTTTTAGCTGATTACATTTCTATATATTGATTGTTCGCAGATTTTAAGTGGATGTCAGAATTGTAGAGAGACACTGCAAGTGAAATTGGTGTGCACTCTTCTCTCTGCTTAGGTCACAACCTTTTAAAAGGTAAGGATCCCCTTACTCTCTTTCTGCCTCTTGGAAATTCCCAGCATGACCCCTTCACTTCCCATAACAGTGCTATTTAATAGTGTATGTAATTATTTCGTCGAGTCTTCTTCATACTCAGAAACAGGAACTTGAATGTTTTGGGAGTGAGATGCAGACAAAGTAAGACAAAACATGTCAATTATTCAGTTCTGTTGTTACAAACTAATAGCACTATGAGGCTGCTATTATAAACTGTCTTCTCTCCCCCAGCTCTGTATGAAGATTAATAACTTTTACAGTTCTCACAATTTTATTTTATTTGTACAGTAAGGGTATTTACAGGCATAAGAGGATTTACTGCTTGATTTTATTCTGCGGTTATAATAAAGGATTATAGGGTGTGGGGGTTCCCCCGCCTCCTTTTTTTTTTTTTTTTTTTTTTTTATTACTCAGATATGCCAGTTAATGAGTTGGGATACTTTACGTGATTGCCCTTATGGACTATAATACATTCTAAAATTCAGCTCTCGTTTAAAAAAATTAAAAAAAAAAAAAAAGAAAAAGAAGCTTCATGGAGCATCTTGCTAATTTAAAATTACCATTAGGCAGAAAAGGAGATAATACTTTCATCATGCATAAAAGGTTTAAGCTACACTTTTAAAAGGGAGATGTCAGAAGAAACTTCAAATCATAGACACTGTAATGACGGGTGCTATCTCAAATCCTAAAAGAGAACAGAATGCGTGATTCTGTACAAGCCATCATGCACCCACACCTTTAGGCACAGCCATTTATGTGCACTACTGGTAATTATGTCAAAGGTTTGATCTAACTACCACGTAAGTTAAAGTGACTTTTCTTTGAGAGTTTTACTATTTCAGTGAGCAAGGGAACTTTTACATTCCAACTCACATACTTCCAGCACTTCAGTTTGGTGCTACCAATACTAATTGTAAAATGGTGAAACATTAGGTTACACGTATATAATCTACAAATGGCCTTTACTCTGAAAGGTTATTAAGCAAACAGCATTCAGAAATTCTCACACATGCGAAGAGCTGATCAAAAGGCAATTAAGACAAAGGAAACAGTAGAACATTGCTCTTCTGCAGTACTTACATAGCAATTACAAGGTCATTCAGAAGTGGCAATTAGTAACAATTTTTAATATCACTTTCAGAACTGAATAGAAATATATGTTACTTCGAATCTTATCTTTCTTGATAAATTGCAATAGATAATTGTCTCTACTGGGGGAAAACATACCAGCAACATCTTCTTTTAAATAATGGCTTTTCCAGCAAGTAGCAAGCACAAGATTGAAGACTCTCATCAGTTGTTTCAGATGAGATAGAAAAGAGTAATAGAATTATCCTTTGTACTACTTTATAGCAGGGAAGCGCATTTTTAAATCTCAAAATTATTCCTGATTTAATAATTCAAAGGTGAAGTGGTACAAACATATCCCCAGGGAGGACAAGCAATCCTATAAGCTCTCTCCATATCTGTAAATGCAAATGATCAAATTATTTTAATTTGATCAGGTTAAAACCAATACACATCCTTAATACAGTGTCTGATACATTTTCCTAAAATCAGGCTTTAAAAATCAGATTAATTAGTGTGTACATCAATTTCACTCACATTTGTAGATTAAGGGTGAAGTTAAAAATAAGATGAGCAAGAAGTTGTTTCTCAAGAGCTTAAATAGGTTGAGTCTGAAAAAATTTATTAGTAGTTCCATGCAACCTCCATTACAAAGTTTAAATATCCAATACCCTACCAGAACAGTCACCACCATGCAAACAGAAGACTTACCTGGCATATGAGAGAACAATGCTCATCTTTAAACATATCTAAATCTCAAAAATCAAGCAGAGCTTCAGGCCACTGGCTGTTCTCATGTGGGACACTAATCTTCTGGTGGATCTCTTCCACTTCATACAAAATAGTTTCATATTAAGCCATATGAGTGCCATACCCATTAGGTTATACAGGAGATTCTCACCAACGAGTATTTATACGAAGCAGGACAGCTCCAAACGAGAGTGAGAGATCCTACCCAGTACCAGCATAATATGTTAGTCACTTCCCAGGATGCAGAAGTCAAATT